CCTAAGAAAACCTCCTGTGTGTCTTTGCTCTCTCCTACACACTTTCTTCTGTTTGTTTTTGTCGGTCATGGGGCTTGAACTCTGGGCCTGGGCGCTGTCCCTCAGCTCTTCAGCTCAAGGCTAGCGCTCTACCACTTGAGCCACAGTGCCACTTCTGGTTTTCTGGTGGTTTATTGGAGATAAGAGTCTCATGGCCTTTCCTTCCCGGGCTGGCTTTGAACCATGTTACTCAGATCTCAGCCTCCTGAGTAGCTAGGATTACAGGCGTGAGCCACCGGCCCCTGGCTTGCCAGCTTTGATTCTAAGCAAACCCCACCTCCGGGGCCCTGTGTCCTCACCACAAAGGAGGGAGAAAACGAGGCCAGAGGCAGCAGGGTCTGAGGAGGCGGCATCCGCCACCCTCTCTTCCTCGCCAGCCTCCAGACGCCTCTGCTCTTCCCACCTCATCCTGGGGTGCAGTGTCATGCGAGACCTGCCAGCCCGAGCATCCAGGCTAGGGGGACCTCTCCACCTGCCTCAGGACCCTCACGCACCTCCACCCACCCTGTCCTGGGCCACCCCCTCAACGCCCACCTCCTGCTCCTGTGTATAGCTCCCTACAGCTGCCGCCCCAGGCCTGGGCAGCTGGGGAGACCCCCACCCTCACCTGTAGAGTTCCTGCATCCCTAGGGACCCCAACCACCTCTGGCATGGCCTAAAGCCAGACCAGGCCTGCCAGGGAGAGCCAGCTTGCTGGCTGCTGGCACTGGGCGGGTGGCATGCACCTGTGTTACAATCAGACACACACAGCAAGCACGAGGCTCACGGCTTCCCCAGAAGCCTGCCTCCCTCCTACCCGAAAAGCTAGGGACAGGCCACTGTAGAGGTGGCAGGAGGCCGGGTACACTTGGTTTGGGACCAGCGTGTGTCTGCCACCTGCTTGCTGGGGAACTCGTGTGAAGGGTGGCCTTGGGAATGTCAGGGTGGATGGCTTTGCTCAGGAGCACGGCATGCATTCCTGGGGCAAGTGCCCTCGGCAGGGTGCCCCGTCCAACTGCGTCCAGCCGCCACACCGCCACACCCAGCACCGAGTGTTTCCCGCTAGCGTTGGGAACTACAGAAGAGGCCGGGCAGCCTGGGGGTGGGGGCGCAGAGAGGAGCCCTTGGGTGTGAGGGGACAGGGCTCAGCACAGAGAACCTTGGCCCACCAGACCATGATAGCTCCGTTGAGAACAGTGCCCACCACGTGCAACCTTGGGTAGGCCTCTGCCAGGCCCCTGCACACCTTGGGAGGCTCCAACACGGGCCTCAGCCAGCCTACGCAGCCAGGCGCTGGGAGCAGGGCCGAGCTCTGGGCCAGTTGGGGTGGAATGTCCAGTGCTGCCTTTCAGCCCCTTCCCCACCCTGCTCTGCCCAGCCTCCAGGGGCCTGAGCCTCCAGGCCCCTTGGTAAGGCAAAGCCAGCACAGCTGGGCACGCAGCCATCAGGAAATACCCCAGGCCCCCAAGTGGGGAGCACACAGCACGCATGGCCCCAGGAACAGAGCTCAGGTCCAGCCTCCACAGTCTCCTGTGTGATCGAGATGGGGACAGGACTTCTCTAAGCATCAGTTTCCCCATCTGTAGAGGCCCCTTGAGATGTGGCCAGGGCAATGTCTGTATGTGTGGGTGTGCATGTCCGTGTCTGTGTCCGTGTGCAGCTGTATGAGTGTGCATGTCTGTGTCTGTGTGCACCTGCATGTGTGTGCATGTCTGTGTCTGTGTGCATCTGTATGAGTGTGCATGTCTGTGTCCATATGCATCTGCATGAGTGTGTATGTCCATGTCTGTGTTCTTGTGCATCTACATGTGTATATGCGTGTCCGTGTCTGTGTGCATCTGCATGAGTGTTCATGTCCGTGTCTGGTCCATGTGTATCTCTGTGTGTGTGTATGTCCATGCCTATGTCCATGTGCACCTGCATGTGTGTGCATGTCTGTGTCTGGTCCGTGTGCATCTGTGTGTGCATGTCCATGTCTGTGTCCGTGTGCACCTGCATGTGTGTGCATGTCCATGTCTGTGTCTTTGCATCTGCATGTGTGTGTGTGCTTTCTCATTGGGCGGAGCATAGCCATTCAGATGGTGTATGGGTTGTGTGTGTGCATGGGATGTGTGCTTGCACGCACGTGATGGGATCTGGGCTGCTCTGGGCTCTCCTCAGAGGGGGCCTTGGTGAGCAGAATCCTTCCCTGATGGCAGGCTGACCTTGCTCCCCGAGGCCCTGTCCCCTGGGCAGGCAGATGGGAGGTGTGACACCTCTGGGAGGCCAGGGCAGCTCACCTCCAAAGCCCCCTTGGCCCCTTTCACCCTCCCCAGGTTGGCCAGCCACCTGACCTCTAGCCACACATCTGCACCTGCACAGCCTCCGCCGGCAGCACCAGCATCGGCTGGGCCTGGCCGCCATGCGAACCTGGGGGGCTCTCCTGCGGCCCTAGCTGGGCTCTCAGCCCAGCTCTGTCCCCTCTCCCCTGCGGCAGTCTGAAGACAGAGTGGTCGGAGAGGCCTCTGCTGTCCCCACTGGCCCAGCAGAGCACCAGGGCGTGGGGCCATGGAGAGCTTCATGGAGTCGCTGAACAGGCTGAGGGACGTGCACGAGAAGGAAGTGCTGGGTGAGTGGCAAGCAGCAGAGCTCCTGTCCTGAGGACGGGCATGAGCTCCCGAGGTCAGGGCACGTGGTCCCGAGGCCAGGGCACGTGGTCCCAGAGGCCTGGGCACGTGGTCCCGGGGGCCAGGGCAGGCCAGGGAGTGCCATGCGTCACCCTTAATTCTGAGGACCATCTTCCTGGCCCTGTAAGACGAGTCCTGACTCAAGGGCTGGAGCCGCATCCAGACCCCCTGCCGGCACTGTCGTCCTGCAGGTGTCTTCTGACCAAAGCCTGGAGCGTGGCCTGGTGGGGAGAGGCCCCTCAGGGATCTGAGGCCACCCCACCCTCCCCATGCCCAGGCCCCAAGCGTGTCCATGCTGAGTTCAGACTCAGCCTGCACAGGCAGAAACAGACTATCCATCCCGAAGGCCCCTGGCCAGGGCCCCTGCCCCCTGCGGAGAGAGCAGCCTCTTCTGTTTCAGGGCCTGAGTGCTGTCCTTTTGCTTTTTTGCTCAAGGCTGATGCTCTACCGGTTGAGCCCCAGCTTTACTTCCAGCTTTTGGGTGATGAATTGGTAATAAGAGTCTCACAGACTTTCCTGCCCTGGCTGGCTTTGAACCACTATCCTCAGATCTCAGCCTCCCGAGTAGCTAGGATGACAGATGTCAGCCACCAGCACCAACAAGACCATCTATTTCCCCGGGCCTCCAGAACATTCCAGGAACAGAGCTGGCATCCTCTTCCCTCAGGATTGTCATCCCCAAGCCCTGCCCTCCTGTCTACCATTTTCGCCCTTCACCACGCACACACACACACACACACACACACACACACACACACACACACAGCAGTTCCAGGCCTGCCCCTTGGGAGGCCTCTAGTGCTTACAGCTGCCCCCATTCCATGTCACCCGCTGCTCCTAAGCACTGAGAGAGGCGGGGATGCCGGGGCCAGAGCAGATCCCAGACAGGTGATGAGAAGGGGGGCCACCACAGAGGCCTAGAGAGGAGAGGGGGCCGGGTATGCTGGGAACAGGCAGTGCCGGGAACGTGCAGGGCTTTCCTGGGACTTCAGAGCCAGCACTGACCAGACAGAGGCTGGGCTGCTCCTGGAACAAGGGAGGAGCCGCCTCGGCTGGTTCTGGGCAGGGGTAACGGGAGTCCATGGTCTTGCCTAGAGGACTGTGCTCAGGAGCACAGGTGGGGCTGCAGCAGTCTGGGTGCAGAGTGGGCGTGGCAGCAGCTGCTGGCAGAGCGGGAAACCGCCAGGGCCAGGGTGGCAAAGGGGGCAGCTGCCAAGCCACCTCCCTTTCCAGATGCCCATCACACTTCTGCGGTCTCCAGCCAGGTGTAGTGGCACAGGCAACCTGGGCTTCATGGTGAGACTCTCGCAAAACAAAACTGCTTCGCATTCTCCGAGCTCCCTCGGTCACTTCCAGCACTGCTCCCCACCCTCGCCAAGCACCCCAAAGCTGGAGTCCCCACGGCAGGGAGCAGACCACGGCCTCAGGCAGGCACTGACGGGGCAGGGCCTCGGTGAGGGCCCTGAGCAGCGAGCACGGCCAGGAGCCCACCGTGGGGTGCAGGGGAGCTGTGTGCCCGCCGGGGCAGCAGAGGCCGCCAGCGAGGGGCTCCTGGTGAGTTGAACCTGACCCAGGCCCCCCACTCTGCCTTCTAGGCCTGCAGAGCAAGCTTCTGGAGCTGAACTCCGAGCGATGCCGGTAAGTCAGCGCAGCTGGGCCAGAAAGGGATGGGCAGCAAAGGCAGCCACAGCTGCCAAGACAGCCCCAAAGCCCCGGGTGCCAGCCCTGCCCCCATCCCAGATGAAGAAGGGAAAGTGAGGCTGGCATGTGGGTGGGGGGGTGAGTACCTTGGACAAGGAGATGTGACGTGCAGGTGACCTTGGGCCGGTGGGGCTAGGCCCCCAGCAGGGGCTCCACTCCATAACGCCAGCCAGCAGGTGACCAAACGCATGGTGAGGGGGGACATGTGGCCCCATCTGTTCCTAGCTGACAGCCAGTCAGGTGTCCGTGCCCCGTCTCCAGGCAGCTGCGGGCTGCATGCACAGTAGCTGCAGTGGCACCAAGGTTCAGGGAGCAGCTGGCGTCTAGGCTGCTGGGTGAGGCCTGGCCTCACAAGGCCCCACTTCCAGGCAGATCCCTACAGAGGGAGGCCTCGGTCAGCCAACCTCACCTCCACGGCTGGTCTCCACAGGGAGGCACAGAGAGTGGAGGAACTGTTTGCCAAGAACCACCAGCTCAGGGAGCAGCAGAAGGTGCTGAAGGAGAACCTGCGGGCGCTCGAGAACAGGTGAGGGAGGCTGGGAGCCGTTGGCACAAACCAAACCAGGTAGGTTCCTCCAGCGCAGGACCTCTCAGAGCCTTCCAGATTCCTTCCCAAACTCAGCTGAACTCGGGACATGAAGCCCGCAGGGTGGGGTCGGGTCTGGGGGTTCAGGACACAGTGCTGGGGAGAGGCAGGAGGAGGTCCTACAGTGGGGGGGCCCTCAGCAAAGCCCCTCACCTCCCCCACCCAGGCTGAGGGCTGGCCTGTGCGACCGGTGCAAAGTCACCCAGGAGCTGGCCAGGAAGAAGCAACTGGAGCTGGAGAGCGCACACCTGCAGAGTCTGCAGCACCTCTGCGTCCTCAGTGAGTCCACGCAGCAGCCGGGGCCTCCCTCCGTCCTCAGCTCAGCAGGCCTCCGTCCCCAGCGGGCCTCCATCCTCAGCTCAGAGGGCCTCCGTCCCCAGCGGGCCTCCATCCCCAGCGGTCCTCCATCCCCAGCGGGCCTCCATCCTCAGCTCAGCAGGCCTCTGTCCCCAGTGGGCCTCCATCCCCAGCGGGCCTCCGTCCCCAGCTCAGCAGGCCTCCGTCCCCAGCTCAGCAGGCCTCCGTCCCCAGAGGGCCTCCATCCTCAGCTCAGAGGGCCTCCGTCCCCAGCGGGCCTCCATCCCCAGCGGGCCTCCATCCCCAGCGGGCCTCCGTCCCCAGTGGGCCTCCATCCCCAGCAGGTCCCCACCCTGCAGGCCTGGCCCACCCAGCCGGACATGGAGCCATGGGAAATGAGGAAGGCGCCTGGCCCCACGCTGTGGGGAGCCCCCTGCCCACCCCCACATGCTCCCCTCCCTGACTACATGGGTAATTTCTGTCCTTTGCAGCCAAAGAAATGAATGGGTTGAAGGAGGAGAACAAAATGTTGAAGGAGGAGGTGAAGCGACTTCGGGGCCTAGAGTGAGTGAGAGGGCCGGGCCCAGAAACGACCCCCGCAGAGCCTGCACGACTCCCCCCAGATTCTGCACGACATCCCCAGAGCCTGCACAACCCCCCAGCCTGCATGACCCCCCCCGACTGCACGACCCCCCAGAGCCTGCACGACCCCCCCACCCCCAGAGCCTGCACAACCCCCCAACC